ATATGGGTGTCCGAGCACGTGTTTTTAAAACTACAATCCGAAGAAATTCAGATCCAATGGCAACAAAGGATACGGTAAAACGTGACAACGATGGAACGCGAGACATGGGTTTTAAAATGCAATGTGGGCAAATATCACTGATCTCAACTGGAACCGCAAGACTTATGAAGAGAAAGCTTTAACACTTCACCGACCAACCCAATTCTTTAAAAAGTTCAGAGACGACATTGCATATTGGACTAAAGTTCGGGGACTACATCGAAGAAATAAAAAGTTCAAGAACCACAATACAAATTGGGTCAAAGTTCAAGTATCATTTGTGTCTTTTTCCCAAATTCTTATATTAAAGTCAATGGACGGCAATAGTAAAAGGGTGAAAATATAGCCCACAAATTTTCATTTCATGTTTTGACTGAGGTGGAGATTTGGTAGGTAAGTTCTTCTTGATATTTATATCTTTTCTTTTTCTTTTTTGGTATTAGAGTGTTTTTTTGGTCAAATTTTTGGTATTAGACTTTTTTTTTGGTCTAGTGTATTAGAGTTGATAGGCGATATTTAAGACTAATTTTGTTTTTAAATTTCTTTATCAAATTGGAAAATTAAATCTTGCCATTGTTCCTTTTGTAAATTTTCAAACTAGAATTAAAAGTTGATTTCACATTTGACCATACAACAAAAGATCTTCAATGATAATATATCCATGAATAATGCTGTAGACAAATTACCAAGACTTGGAAGGGATGATTTGCTTTTTCAAATAAACTTGAAAATGAATATTATTATTCGGCACTCTCAACGCTCAAGTCTTATTGAATGAGTATGTGTAACATGTTATAATTGATCATTTATTTTAACTAAATATGAAAAATATACATACCATCTAATTATAAATCACTTTACATATTTCATCGAAAAAATTGAGTTTTCTACTAATGAGTTTGAATTTCGAATTAATGTGTTTGATAAATCACTCACCGGCTAAATGAAAAAGAAACTATCTTAAATTAACTAGTGTAGTCAATCTAACTAACTAACAAATTAATGTATTTTATTTTCAAAATTTTAAAAATGCGATATATACCCTTAATACAGCTGCCAAATAGGATCTCTAAAAACTTTCCGATTTCACAAGGAATGTAAATGTCTCAACAATTTTGCATGTACGGCTTCGACATTGCAAGCATGTATAGGTGGGTCCACTTGACTTAACTAAAGTGCAATTTAGGCCGTTCGCAAAAAATATTGTTATGCAACCAAATAGGCATAAAAATGGGCTCTTCCATAGGACTAATACGTCGACTTTCTTAGATATTTTTAATCTCCTATAGTGAGGTATTTAGAACTATCTTCGATAATTTGACTCAAGTACATGCCTGATCTACTCTTGGTATATAATTATTGGATCCTCCACTCACAGGTAAAAAATTAATTGATCTTAAAAGAAAAATTAGTCAAATTAAGTATATTTAGTTCTTTCAAGGTTGAAATGATATGAATAAGACTTGTTCATTTGACCCAAATAATTCCTTTTTTGATTGGTTTTTTTAGCCTAACTTTTTGCTTGCTTTAGGTGACTGCACCCTTACTCTACCTAAAGTAACAGTGCAATCTGCACCCCACAGTTTCCCAAGGAAACCGGATGACTTTTTTGTCTAGTTTTATTGGGAAATCAATTCCCTTAAATAACAATTTTTAGCTAAAAGTGAGTTTAAAGGAAAAAAATCAGAATTATTAACTATCAAAATACAAATAATCACAAATATGAAAATGATATTTGGTTGATTTACTTCGTCTATTACATTTGCATGTGATTTTTTCTTTTATTTATTTTTACATCAATCTTCGATCACATTTTAAAGAATTATACTTTCATTACTTTCCTTTTATATGAGTTTAAGTATCTAATAGCTTTCTGGTATAATTATTAAAAAATATATGAAGTTATAAGAGTTAGATTCTATACTCATTTAAGATAACATAAATTCCTTGGCCCTTATTGTCATGATATCTTCATATTAGCATCTTTAATTAAATAATTTTTCCCAACCAATCTTGTGATATTTTTTCATCAATTCAATAAGTATAAAGGGAACTCCATATAAAAAAAATTAAGAAAATTGGTTTAAGCATATCTAATTCAAGAAAAATGTGATATTTTGATAAATAACTACTAAAATACTATGTTCGAGTACCATCTATTGATGTGCAATTAAAGCCAATAAGAGCCAAGTAAAATTTCTTTTTCGCAATGAGAGACTAACTTGTTTTTCAATGTGTACATAAAAAAGCTTAATAGTGGTGTACATGATCATAAAACATTAAAAAGATTGATAGTCCATAATTCATATCCTCCGTATACCTAATGTTTACTTTTCTCATTTAGTAATTCTTAGATATTAATTCGTAGCTATTATTAATAGTGAAGAGATGTGAAAGAGAGAAATGTGAAATTTTGTGTATATTGTGATGTTTATATTAACAAAGAATACGTTAGCCTATTTATAAGTTTTATTAGATTACTATTCTAAGATAATATCTCAATCAAGATAATGTATAATCAAAGGGAGATATACGTGCAACACATGTGCAACATGCGTGCAATCATGAAAGATACAAATAATCAACATAAAATTTCATAATTATCTCTTACATAAGAAAATATCTTATAAAAAGTGATAAATATCTCTAACAGTGTCGTGTTGATATGTTTCACAATGTTACTAGTTTTCGCCGTCTTTAAAAAGTACCCAAAATTTGTTTTCTCCGTGCACATTTCGCGGAGGTAGAACCACGAATTGCTGCAAGTTTCCGAAGCTCTTCGTAATCAGATAAACACCCAGTTGAATCGATTATGGAATGATCGGTCACCAAACAGCGCGTGAGCTGAAACTGAACTGCAATCAAAATCCCTCCGAGGCAGACTGACGAGAGATTGAAAGAGAGATTGAGAGAGAGACTGTGAGAGGAACGAGTTCACTCGTGTTAAGGAGTTTGAGAAAATATTACAAGAGAATGACGCGCTTTTATTCAGTTGGGCCAATCACAATTTGACAAGTGACAAAGGATAGTAATTACAAGAGAATGACGCGCTTTTAGTCTCACTAGCTAAGAATGGAAACGAAAAGATTGAGACGGAGACGCAGATGGAGAAAAAAAGAAAAACCACAATGCAAGCGAAGTTTCAGCTTCATATAAGAAAAAGCCAAAAGGATATGCCCAAGTACCATTACACACAACGGGAAGCACAACCAGCTCGCGGAGGTAGAACCACGAATTGCTGCAAGTTTCCGAAGCTCTTCGTAATCAGATAAACACCTAGTTGAATCGATTATGGAATGATCGGTCACCAAACAGCGCATGAGCTGAAACTAAACTGCAATCAAAATCCCTCCGAGGCAGACTGACGAGAGATTGAGAGAGAGAGACTGTGAGAGGAACGAGTTCACTCGTGTTAAGGAGTTTGAGAAAATATTACAAGAGAATGACGCGCTTTTATTCAGTTGGGCCAATCACGATCTGACAAGTGACAAAGGATAGTAATTACAAGAGAATGACACGCTTTTAGTCCCACTAGCTAAGAATGGAAACGAAAAGATTGAGACGGAGACTGAGATGGAGAGTCAGAGACGATGAGGTAAGCATCAATCGAGAAGGGTGAGAGAGTGAAAGTGAGCGTGAGGCGAAAGCGAAAGAAAGTGTTTCTCGGCTGAGTGTGAGGCTGTGAGTGTCAAATGAGTTAGATTTAATTTAGAAATTTTAAATTTTTTTTAAAAAAATTTAAAATTAAATAAATATATTATATTTATTATTATATTATCGATCCAGTCCGGGTGAGCGGGAGAGTGGTTCTACACCTATAATTGGGAACCGGACCGATATCCACCGGTTCCCAAAAATTGGAATCAAGAATCGAATCGGTTTCCTTTGGAACCACCGGTTCCCTTCCAATTCTAGGTGGTCCGGGCAATTCCCGGTTCTTTTACACACCCTCAATGCTAGAGGCTTTACAACTACATCTGATGCGAAGGTATTATGAGTTGTTTCCCATCTGCATTAAATCAGCATTTTTCTGTTAAGTTGGAATAGCGGACAAAAAAAATGCTGCACGTGGATTGTCCGCGTGAGATATTCATCTCAAATCTGTAAAAATAAGTTTTCACATTGGATATCGTCACAAAAGAACTCAAACCTGAGCACTCCAACAAAAACAAAGGCCGCCGACCAAAAAAAAAAGAAAACCAAAGAGACCTTAGTATGATCACCATGCAACACCAGCTCCTTTACAACAAAGGCGAGCTCCATGGCACAAGCGGGCTCGTTAACCATCGATCCCTTTCTCTCCTTTGAGAATCCTCGGATTCGAGTAACCTCACCTCCATTTCGGTCGGATTCGACATTTTCACCTACACAGGCATATTTGGTGGCACGCCACCCGGCTGTCCTAAGATCCGAATCTTCGTAGGTATCGACCTCGACCCATCAAACCATTTTCGTCCGTGAAGCTCTAGGCAATTTGTTTAGAAGTCTCGTCTTTTTGAGGAGGAAGGAGAAATATTGATGTCGAGAAATAGGGTTATTCTTTTTTTTCTTTTTTTTTTTGTAAAGTAGACGCTAACTCGTCATTTTAAAAGATTCAACTTAAGCAAATCGAAGGGTTATATTGAACATTTCTCAATAATTCAGTGATCACATTGAACGTTCAAGACAATTCAACACATTATGTCAAAGTTCATGAACTATCTGTATAAATTTTCAACACTTATGAAAGGGAAAAATAGAAATTATTATCATTATTTTTGGATATTAGGACCCCAAAAAACTAAATAAAAAGGGAAAGAGATTGCCGCTCAAAGAAAATATCGAGCACCGTCAGCTCCGTCACGAGCGACCCGATGATGATGTCTCGGTGAAAGTTCGATTCCAGCAGTTGGAGAAGAAATTCCAAGAACGAGGGAGTAAACCCGTGGAGGAGATGAAACTTCAACCGAGGTTCTCTCTTCACTGGAGCATCAATGCCTTTTTCCCCTGCTTTTTCACCTGCTTTTGATTCTTTCGTTACTTTCGGATTACCTGCTGTGTATAATGTAAAATAGGCGAGGTGGGAGCTCAGATTTAGTCCGCTTGCTGTGCTGGTACGAGAGAGAGAGAGAGATGGTGGGCTAGCTGAGATTCTTGGGGTTGGATTCTTTATGGTAATTGTGTGGTAGTAGAGTGCAGCTCAGTCGGTCATCTTGAGAATTTGAGGATAGTTGAGCAAATTCAAAAGTTCACTGGGGAGGAACAGAATCGATGGGAATTTTTGGCAACTGGGTATTCTCTGTGATGATCAAATTGCGAGATAGTAGAGTTCAGCTCAGTCGGTCATCTTGAGAATTTGCGGTAATTGAGCAAATTCAAAAGTTCACCGGGGAGAAACAGAATCAGTGCGAATTTTTGGCAACTGGGTTTTCTCTGTGGTGATCAAATTGCGAGATAGTAGAGTTCAGCTCAGTCGGTCATCTTGAGAATTTGCGGTAATTGAGCAAATTCAAAAGTTCACAGGGGAAAAACAGAATCAGTGGGAATTTTTGGCAACTGGGTTTTCTCTGTGGTGATCAAATTGCGAGATAGTAGAGTTCAGCTCAGTCGGTCATCTTGAGAGTTTGCAGTAATTGAGGAAATTCAAAGTTCACAGGGGAGAAACAGAATCGGTGGGGATTTTTGGCAACTGGGTTTTCTCTGTGATGATCAATTTAGTTGGCACATGTAGTAGTGGAGTTGCACATTTGTGTAATTTGCACTTCCCGTCCTGTATGAGTGCTGTTTGCTTTCCATTTGGTGCTCAATCAAAAAATTGCTGTGATTGATCTGTAGCTTCGGTCCAGCTGTGTGTATGTTTTGGTGTAAAATTGATTTAAGGTAATTGAGAAAGGTCGAAGTAAGGGGGACAGAAGCAGCGAGAGTGGGATTCAATCTTGCAATCGCACGCTGTGTTCATTATTTTAAGATGGGAGGGAAATGAAGTGAAAAGGAAAAGAAAGGAAATGGAAGGAAAGTAAGAGATAAGTGTGTTAGCTTGTTTGGATGTATATTGAATAGACATGTTGTGGAGTGAATCATAGTCAGAAAATGAGAATTTTTGGTCTTGGGAGATTATGGTGTATGAGATTCTCTCAGTCAAAATATTTAGATTCAATTCAAGCTCAAGTTTGCCTGGGGCTAGTGTTGTTTGTGGTACCGCCACATACAGCTTATACCCGAGACAGCTGCCTCTTCTCTCTGCTATACAAGAAAACCTTTTGTGAGTAAAGGTCTTGATGGCTTTGAAGTGTAACCACAACCCCTTAGATCAAGTGAGGTGTTTATCGCTGCAGCCATGGTACTCTAGGCTTAAACTGTGTGTACTATTGAGGGATCTCTTCCCCGTTCTGGAGCTGATCAGTGACATATTAGCGTGTGACATGTTCATTTGTAAGCCAAGTCAGTGCTTTAACATGCATGTTCTAGTTGAAGGATGAAAAGTTATCAGTAACACTGCTAGATGGAAGAATGGAGTCTTGGTTTACTTTGCATGCGATTGCTTTGTATGTTCTTGAATATAGTTGTAATATGTTTTTGATAGTGAAAATATAGATGTGAAAGGATGACCAGATCGCTGGAGTATGACTAATATGAAGCTGACACTACTTCCAAAAATTAGTAATCTGTAGGCACTGATGCATTCAAAGAACTCTGATATATGTGAATGAAAAAATCGTTTCAAGGGACGGTCTTCGTAATGTCAGAGAAGTTTGTTATTCGTGTAGCACATACTTTTACTTATTGCTCCTTTTAATTGAAATTTTTTTCCATTGAACAGTACTTTATGGCTTTTCTTTTGATTATCCAAGCTAGAATATAGCTCGATGTAGGTTTTTGAAATGTGAGGAGTGTATTTGATATCGTAGAGCAAAGTTGAGCATGGTATCTGTAATTTTCCCTCAAAAAGATTAATTTATTGAGTTTCAAGAAGACTATTGTTGAAATTTGAAAATCCATTAAAGAAAAAGAGGCTTGTCACACTCTCTCCCCTTTTCGTTTCAGCTGTCATAGCACAGAGTGAGGATAAACTAAAGTCCGTCTTTGCGATCCCTTAGCAATTGATATTGCATTAGAGTTATTGTCGACTAGTAGTCCCACCGAATCTCCATATTTTTGTGTGTCATAGTGACATGGAGAGTTTTATTTTTTGGTGGCCAAAGACATGCGGACTTTCAGATGGTCATATTTGAAAGAATCCAAGAAATTCGTTGACTGATCCAAATATGTTTTCCTTATTGCAAGATAACTCTGCTTCTGCTTGCTTGTATTGGTGTCTGGCCTCGGGCCAGTTCTTATTGAATGTTACGAGATATTTAGAGTTGTCAGCTTTTCTGAAGCAAGTCAGTCATAAACCAAAGATAGGGTGACAATTTGAATCTCCTCCATCAGTTTTCTGATCAATTTTACGATCTTGTAATGATTAATGTTGATGGAAGAACCATTAGCACTCACTGAGGAGACATGTGGAGCCACTTGGGCTCCCATGAAAGGCTATATTTTCTAAGCAGAACTCCAATATGAGGAGTGATTTTGTCCTCCAAGCAGATGATCGGTCTCATGTTGCTGATCATATTCTAGGATGACGGCGCTTTTTCAATGAAAGTAAAATTTTGATCAGATTAAAGAAATTCATTTATTAAGTTAAAAATATGCATCTTCTTCTCAGAGAAGTGATGGATGGTGTCTTTCTTCCAACTAAGGAGAAAATAACAAGAATTTGAAACCTGATAATTTAAAGAGAGATAGAGAGAGCATCTAGACTTAACATTGCATTAGAAAACAAGTTATGACAAACAGAGGTACTCTTACAGCTAGTTTAAGCTTTTCTATTTTTATAGTGTTCTTCAGTTAATGATTTTATTGCCTTGCGAAAGCCTCTGAAATGTCATTTTCTGTTCTTTTGTTGCAGTATGCTGTAGTCTCATGCAAATGCGGGTAAAAGCAATAATCCTTGCAAAAAATCAAAAGTCCATAAGATGCAGGGACCAGAATCTGATCAGTATGCTGTGAATTTCCATGAAGAGGATGAGGACTTCAGGGAGAAAATGAAGGAGTTGCAGGGCTATATCGAGATGGTAATATCAGCTTGCCCTTCAACTTGATTTCATGCAATTCATTTTCATTTTGGCCTGTATAGCTATTTGACTGATTTTTGGTCGTGGCTAACCTGTGTCTTGTTATGAAAGCTAGTAACTTTTTGTTAATGGTCTGTTAACATGTGAAATCACAGTGTAACATCCACTTCCTGGTTTGTATGATTGAGCAATGAAGAATATATCTATTTGTTTTGACAAATTTCATGAATTAACATGATTAGTTGTTCTGAGATCTGGTCTATTGTAAGTTGGATAAATCATATCATGATTCCGGATTAATAGCTCAAAATCATGATCGTGGACATAAAACCTTGCAATAAATGCCGCACCTTTCATCATCTCAAGGGAGTCATCTGTTCTTTATGCTTGAATTTTAGAGAATAAAATACTTGATATTGTTCCTGAAGTTTTTATTTAACTGTTCAATGTACGATTTCTTTGGGCCATCACATGTTTGATGTAGGACTAAAAGCTCTTTTTGCCAATTTTCAGAGACTGCATTATAATGCCACAGCACTCTTGGCATCTCTCCACTGCTTCTGTAACGTTAAAGGTGGTCTGACATTAGATTCTCAACATATTTTTCTCAGTTTCACTACTCATGCGCCATCTGTTGTATTCTGCTCGGCAGAAAAACCTTGAAACATAGCATCTGAGTTTTGCCGTATTGGCATCTCTGTTTCGGTAACCAGTATCCTGCAATTTAGTTCTCTTATGATGAGAAAAAGTTAAATGCTCTTCATCCACAAATAACATTTTCCTGTCATACCTGATGGCCCATGTCCTGCAAGTCTACTGATTAACTGTTGCTTTCCGAACTAGATTCTTGAATTCTGCGATATGTTGACCCCTACACATATTCTGTGTCCCTTCAGGTACAGCAGATTGTGAAACCGGGGTGCTCTCCGGAGGTGGTGGAGGTGGCATTGCATTCCATGGCCTCCCTTGTCGAATTCCTTTCCTCTGTATCCTCCAAGACGGAGCTTATTTCTTCACTTTAACTCGCAAATTCGGTGCTGCTAGTTAAAAGGAATATGCAGCTACAAAGTTTGTGTGTTTCTAGGTGTAGTTTAGCTAGACGCACATACCCACTGAAACGGGTAAAAAAGGTGCACGGTGCATTGGCGGGTGAGAGATTCGGTTGTAGGTTGAAAATTGGAGCAGGGAAGGCAATTGGCATGTGTATCGTATAAGCTACATTGTGGTTAAATTCTGTCAAGAGTGACAGTAGTTCATGAACCTTAAGTGATGGTTTGTACCATGAATGTCGGGCGACGCGATGTTAAGTTCTAATTGAAGTCGTTTCCAACTTCAGCAAGTGAACGAGGCTATTGATGTCTTTCTTCGTTTTTGTGATGCTTGGATATAACTGTACGTGTGGATTCAAAGTTCAATGGCCAAGGAGAAGTAGAAATGCCCACTTTAAGATGTCGGAGCTGGCTCGCTTGTGATGAGGAACTGTAAGTTGAATTGGATGAACGTGTAACATTAAAATGAAAGGATGAACATGGTAGCATACGCGATAACCATATATTTATGTGTGTATGTTCTAAAAACGCGTTGAATTCACGTTTCAGGACTTGCCATGTGATCATTTTATGCATCCACATGCTTTTTTGATTGCTCTATACAGTACTACGAAGTAGACTCGAATGTGGACAAGCCTCCTGTCTCGCACATTAACAAGTTAAACGTGGTCGAAGAGATCGATTTGGACGGGATTAACATTATTTGATGGTCGACATGTTCATGCATGGTGCCAAGTTTTTCATGATTTGTGGTCGCACAGTACAAACGCATAGGCAAAACACGATTTTATAATCCTATGTACCACGGATCAAGTATGTCCATAAAACTTTTTTTTTTTTGGTAAGGTAAGTATTGATATAGCTTTAATATATCAATACTTTAGATATTTCAGAATCTTTAAGTTTTCGAACGTCAATCGTTTTTTTCTTAAGCTTTTAGATCACAATCTCTCTAATGTGATCAACCCTATTTACTATCAAGAAACATTGAATGCTCCTCAATCAACGAAGGCAATAAATCATCATGTCCTTAATTTCCATCCTTTGCACATAATTACAATTTGTCAAGCATTTTTTTGCCCGTTCTATATGAACAGGGAAATTGCCTAATCGGTCCTAAACCTATTGTACAAATATCAATTCAGTTTCAAACTTTCCAGTTTTATCAATTTAGTCATAAACTTTGCGCAAAACTCTCATGTAATCCTTTCGGTCAATTTTCGCCGGAAAATGCTGACATAAAGGGAGGCCATACAAGATGGCTGGCAATGGCTGGACCGCCACATCGGCGATGTCTGATAAAAATTGACCGGAAGGATTACATTGAAATTTTACTCAAAGTTTTAGGATTAAATTAGTGAATTTGAAAAATTCAGAATTGAATTTGCATACGTACAATAAATTTAGAATTGATTGAGTAATTTTTTGCTATATAAATATATGCACTCACCAAGCTCCAAAAACTATATTTGATTCTCTAAGAAGTTGTAACAAAATTTCTGGCATGCCATAATGTAATATTTCGTGACTTTTAGGTGCCTAACCATAATGATTTATTCTATTATATAAAACAAAGATGACCCCCTACTTTTAAAAGGACCGCAATCTTATTTTTCTTTCCCAAACACCCTCAATTATTTATTGAGTTAATATCACGAAAAACCCCAAATTGGTATATATGTGATAATTTTACCCCAAATTATTTTTTTGACCATGAAAAATCTCAAACCGGTACATTTGTGATAAATTTACCAAAAACTAATATTCTGACTACTAAAAACCCTAAACTGGTACATTTGTGACAAATTTACCCTCCATTAGTTTCTGTTAAATTGAATTAATACCACAAAAAATCACAAACTAGTATACATGTGACAAATAAAGGGTAAAACATAAAACTGGTACATCAGTTAACTGTAGCATGTTATTTAACAAAGCAATTTAACCGTAAAATTTAACGAAAATAAACTGAAGGTAAATTTGTCACAAGTGTACCGGTTTTGGAGTTTTGGTGGTCAAAAAATTAATTTGGGGTAAAATTGTCATAGGTGTACCAGTTTGGAGTTTTACGTGGTATTAACCCTTATTAATTATACATATATTATATTTATAGACAAATAAGTAAATTCTTGATTCTATTTTTTATCTCTAACACGTTTCAATAATGAAGTTTGAATCTTTTGTATCTTTCAACAACTTCCTTATAAAAAAAATTTCGAATCTTGAGATATCTTTCCCTTTCTACGTAAGATGGTTTTGCTTTCCTTTTCAGACATCACCTTTATGCATGCATGCATCGCGTATACACACTTGCTAGTGATAATATAAACTTTTCATATGTAATTATCGGGAGATTATAATTCTTATTTTACTAAATGACTGGAATGTAACTTTGTGTATTTCATTTCTCTTTCTTTATAATCACGTCATACAAAAAAGAAGAAGGAGAAATATTGATTCTATACATTAAATCAAAATACAATGAGTCGTTATTTTATAGTTCAATTAATTTGTTATTGCAGCCGAACGCGTGCCGCTAGTTCTGATTTTTATTCAAAATCATGTTAAAACTTATGATTCCAATGATCTAGATGATGACAAGTATAACTAGTTTTTTTTTTTTCTTTTCAAGCGGAAAAAAGAATAAGAATGAGAATTTGATGAACTTCGAAATATTGTTTAAAGCCTTAGCTCCCTTGTAAACCATACAAATCAAAATACATCAGTGATCAAATTGTCTGATTAAACCAAAGATATTAGAAAGAGTTAATATCACGAAAAACCCCAAACTGGTACACTCATGATAATTTTACCACAAACTAATTTTTTGCCCACCAAAAACCCCAAACTGGTATATCCGTAATAAATTTACCCTCAGTTTATTTCTGTTAAATTTTACTGTCACATTGCTTTGTTAAATGACATGCGGCGGTTGACTGATGTACCAATTTTATGTTTTACCCTCTGTTTATCACAGGTGTAACAATTTGTGATTTTTTGTAGTATTAATACAATTTAATGAAAACTAATAGAGGGTAAATTTGTCACAAATGTACCAGTTTGGGGTTTTTAGTGGTTAAAAAATTAGTTTGAGGTAAATTTATCACATGTATAACAGTTTGGGATTTTTGGTGATCAAAAAATTAATTTTGGGTAAAATTATCACAGGTGTACCAGTTTGGGGTTTTTCGTGATATTAATCCTATTAGAAAAGACTGGCCGCATCAAAGACTATTCCTATGTTTTAGAATGGCGTCGTAAGAACAGGGTAATGACAAAGCAAATCCTAAAAATATTTGTAACTTTGTGCACTCAAGTCCTAATTTATTTCGTTCGTTTAAGTCCTAAAATTTGTAAACTTCGGTACGCTTCAAGTCCATCTTTCGATTGATGGAAGGAGTCGATAGGACCAAAAGTCACGAGCTTTCAAATGCACGGAATGAAAGTTTTAGAACGTGGGTGCATAAATTTGACACTTTTTAGAACTTGCCTGATAATTATTCATGCATTCGCATGCTTTTTCTTTAGCTCTAAAAGTTCTCTCTCACAATTCTATTCCGCATACGATCGTGTAAACCATATACTGTCTTGTCTAAGCGGTGACATGTTTCATGCATGTGCCAGTTTTTCATGATTTATGGTCACCACAATACAATGTATAGGCAAATTACAAGTTTATAATCCTATATACTATCTACCAATTTTTTCATGATTAATGATAAAAAGATACAATGAGGGAAATTGTCCAATTAATCCTAAATTTATATTACGGTGCCAATTCAGTCCTAAACTTTCTAATTTTGTTAATTTAATCCTAAACCTCTGTAGAAAATTACAATGTAGTTATTCCGGCCAAAAAATCGCTGACATGGCAGTGTGCCACATAAGATGGCTGATAATGGTTGAATAGCTATCTTATTTTTTTTTCAGCGAAAATTAACGGGAAGGGTTTACAATAGAATTCGGGCAAAGGTTTATGATTAAATTGGCAAAATTGAAAAATTTAAAATTGAATTCGCATCCTTTAAGATTGATTTGGTAATTTTCCTCATACAATGCCCTATTGCATGCCGAGTAATTTAATGACAGGGTACGAGAGCAAGCGAAAGAAGAAACTTTTCAATTTTCCTCAAACGATCCACCTCAAAACTTTACATATTCCAGAATAGAATCACTGAAGTTTCATGCACGTATGGAAAGTAACGTCCGATTACGGAAGGCCAACCATTCTTTCCTCTTGAATTCTAAGATTGCAATCTCTTCCAATTGCGCATGCGTTCACGATCTCCTCTTACCAATTCCGAATCCAAATTGAGACTTTTGATTTTCTACCCATGAAGGCAATTAATCATCAAACCCTTGAAATGTCCATGGTATGCACATAAATTACAATCTCTCAAAAAGCATTTCTTTGCCCAGCCTATATAAACATACGCACTCGCCATCAAACCCTAAGAAAATATAAGTTTTTGAACGGTCCAATCCCAATGGAAGCCTCTCTCAAATTCCATTCTCTTGTTTGCTTCACTCTGATTCTTGCATTCTCAATTCTATGTGAATCTGCTTCGCATGATGGCTTCACCGTGGAGCTGGTCCACCGCGACTCGCCGAGGTCCCCCTACTACGACCCGGCCGACACCCCGTACCATCGCATAACCAATGCGATTCGCCGGTCCATCTCCCGCGTCAACCGTCTCAACCCGAACTCCGTCGCCAACCCGAACACGCCCTCCGGGGTGATCAACTCGAACAGAGGGGAATACCTTATGAACATCACACTCGGGACCCCGCCGGTGAATATCGTGGGGATCGCCGACACGGGGAGCGACCTCATATGGACGCAGTGCAAGCCGTGCACGGATTGCTTCGAGCAAGCAAGCCCGCTGTTCGACCCTCGCAAGTCCTCGACGTACAAGGACGTCTCGTGCAGGGCGTCGCTGTGCGAGGTGCTCGGGCAGACCGCCTGCGGCGGGCGGGGGCTCTGCGAGTATTATTACTCTTATGGCGATAGTTCTTATACTAATGGGAACGTAGCCACGGAGACATTCGCCCTAGGTTCCACCACGGGCAGGCCCGTGAGCATCCCCAGGGTGCTCTTCGGCTGCGGACACGATAACGGCGGGACCTGGGACGATCAGACGGACGGAATCATCGGGCTCGGGGGCGGCGCCGCCTCGCTCATTACCCAAATGGGGAGATCCACCGGCGGGAAATTCTCCTATTGCTTGGTGCCCTATTTCTCGGATCGTGGAAGCTCTAGCAAGTTGAACTTTGGGGCCAACGCCGTGGTCGCCGGCCGCGGCACCATCTCCACCCCTCTAGTCCAAAAGGAGCCCAAGACTTTCTACTACCTAACCCTAGAAGCGGTTAGCGTCGGCAAGACGAGGGTAGAATTCCTTTCCGCCGGCCCTTCCCTTTCCGAGGAAGAAGGGAACATCATCATCGACTCGGGCACGACCTTGACGCTGCTGCCGCAAGAATTCTACTCCAAAATCGAAGCCGCCATGGTCAAGTACATGAAACTGCCCCGCGTGAGCGACCCGTCTCAGTTCCTCAGCCTTTGTTACAAGGCCGTGTCGGATACCAGCCGGTTGGGCATCCCTCCCGTGACCTTCCATTTCAAGGGCGCGGACGTCGTGCTTAGGCCAACGAACTCCTTCGTCCGAGTCGCCGACGATATCATATGTTTCGCGTTGAACCCGGGCGCGATGTCGATCTACGGCAACCTGGTGCAGATGGACTTCTTGGTGGGATACGACATACAGAACATGAAGTTGTCCTTCAAGCCTGTTGATTGCACCTTGCACTGATTTCATTCGTACGTTTCGTCTTTCTTATTATTATGGTTTGGGACCGAGTCGTGTGCTGCCTTTTAAGTTCAATTCTGATGTGGTTTATATGGTATTCATCGTATACTACTCTTGCTTGTTTACTGAATAATATTCTCGTTTTCTTGTGAGTCCTCATTTTCTCTAGACTATGAGAATTATTTGTCATTAATAATTTTCATTGTCCACCTATGCTCCAGATAATTCAGTCTTTGTAAGATGCACTAGTTCACTTTTCCGAGTTGCAATAGTTGTTGAAGTAGGGAGGAGGAGTATTCTATTTCGTATAGTGTACGAGTTTTGCGAAAGCGCTTTTTGAAATATTGCAATATGGACTCGAAGATCAAGTTGAATGACATTATTGGAAATAATATTTCTATTAGAAACTTTCCAAAGTTTTAATTCAATAGAATAAAGCAGTGAAGTTTTGCCTTTAAAAACGTAGATTTTGTACCGAAATTTAAGTACTGAATACTAAGCATTGAAGTCTTTAAGTATTAAAATTGAAAATAAAACACTAATTGATAATAAATGAAAATTAGTTAATGTATTATATTTGTTTCGTTCAAAATAACGAAAGGTTTGAATTATCCAAAGGTTTTGACAATATTATTGGTCTGACTTCAATTTCTATTGAATTTTTGGTCACTTATCCATTAAATAAGTTATTATTCTTTACTTGCCAAATTAAGTGATTTTTCACTGAAGATGATCAATTAAGTTGTATGTAGTTAGAGGTCATCAAACACACCTAATAATATTTGTGTATTGAAAACGTTTATTTAGGAAATTTTTTTCCTCCAACTAGGACTCTCGCAACCGTACATTTGACTAGCGCGAGACAAAGAAGGAACATCACTTGCATGCAAGCTTAACCAAAATTTATGTGTCGGAGGTTTTTGAGTTCAGAGACTCCATTTAACTTTTTGTTTTGCTCGCTTAAGTATTAAGATTCCACTTCATTCAAGTCGTAAAACTTGCAACATTGATTCACTCTGAGTCCATCCTTTGTTGAAGGAAGATCCATAGGACCAAAAATTACAAGGATTGATTAAAATGATCGATGGTCTTTGCTTAGCGGTGACAGTTTCATCCATGTACCATTTTTTCATTATTTGTGGTCACATGATACAATGTGTAAGCAATTAAGGAGTTTGTAATCCTTTTTACTATGTATCGATTTTTTCGTGATTAATAATAAAAAGATACAACGTGTTATTAGGAAATTTGTCCAGTCAATCATAAACCAATTGCATGAATACTAATTCAGACGTAAACTTTCCACTTTTGGCCAATTTAATTCTAAATCTTTTCGCGAAGTTCCAATGTAATCCTTTCAATTAATTTTCATTGGGAATCACTATCGTGGTCCAGCCATCACCTGCAAGGCTAAACACTCCTGGGTGACCCATAGCAAAGTAGTACCGTGAGGGAAGGGTGAAAAGAACCCCCATCGGGGAGTGAAATAGAATATGAAATCGGAAGCTCCTAAGCAATGGGAGGAGACTATTAGGACTCTGACCGCGTACCTGTTAAAGAATGAGCTAGCGACTCATAGGCAGTGGCTTGGTTAAGGGAACCTACTGGAGCCGTAGCAAAAGCGAGTCTTCAAATGGCAATTGTCATTGCTTATGGACCCGAACTTGGGTGATCTATCCATGACCAGGATGAAGCTTGGGTGAAACTAAGTGGATGTGCATTTTACGTGACACCTTGGCACGAAAATTGATTGGAATGACTATATTTAAGATTCAATTGGTAAAATTGGAAAGTATAGAATTAAATTGGCATATTTACAATTGATTTGAGATTGATTAGGCATCGTGTTTTGCGAGTGATTCGGTGACTAGATATGAGAGCAAGACAGAAGAAACTTTTGATTTTCCTTAACCAATCTAGCATAAAACTTTAGGTATTTCGAAAATGCCATGTGCGTAGGGAAAGTAACGTCCGATTTTGGAAGGTCAAATTTTTTTTTCTTAATTTTTTATATAACAAACTATTTAATTACGCATGCATTCACATTCTATTCTCACCACCTCTGAATTCAGAGCGAATGTGATTACCAGATTTACTATCAAGAAACATGGACTACTCCACTACTGATGAAGGCAAAAATCAACAACCCTTAAGATTTCCATCGTTTGCACATAATTACAATCTCTTTAGCATTGGTTTGCCCATCCTTTATAAATGTTTGCACTCCCCAATAAACCCAAAGAGAATATAAGTTTTGAACGGTTCAAATCCACATTTTCCCAATGGAAGCCTCTCGCAAATTGCATTCTCTTCTTTCCTTCACTTTGATTCTGGCACTCTCAATTCTATGCGAATCTGCTTCGGATTATGGCTTCGCCGTGGAGCTGCAGGCCCCCCGCGGCTCGCCCAAGTCCCCATACTACAACTCGGCAACACCCTGTATCAACGTATGGCCAAAGCTATTCGCCGGTCCATTTCCTGCATCAACTGTCTCAACCCGAACTCTGTCGGCGCCCCAAACACGTCCTCCAGGGGATTGTCTCCAACAATGAGGAGTACGTTATGAAAGGTATTGCTTGGGAACCCGCCCGTGACTGTCGCCACCCTCCCAACAGTCATGTCGCAGAATGGCAGTTTTAAATAATGTCGAATTGGGATTAATAGTCCTCAATCGGCGCGGGTTCTCCCAAACCCTTACCTTGCGTGACTGTGGAAAACTCATTTAATCCTAAGAGAATTCTATCATGTAAGGGAGTCGCCACTAGCCCATTGGGGCCAGCTAGGAGCCAAATGAGATACGGGAGAATACCTCATTTCCTACGCAAGATCTAGAGTCAGGGACTTGATTATACTAGTTGTTCAAACTAATGCCTATTCAATATCCTAACTTGATTTATTGTCAACTAAAGTGTCACATGCAGTCTTTTCATCCAATTACGAGTCCTAAAATTTTCATCCGCTAAGTGTTCACGTGATGTTCTTTATTGGTTATTATTATGATCTTAAAATGTAACTAACCTTTTAACTAGAATAAGCAAATCGGGACACAAAAGTAATATTAAATTATCACAATTAATTCATCAAAATTGTAACGAAAGAACAATTGAAAGATAGAGTGCACTAAAGTAATCTAATACGAGTTGGTCAAAAATATAAGATGGCCTTGTTATTAAGCTCTAGCAGAGCGGCCCCATAAACTAAATTTAAATGGAATCCAATTTCTTTTTCGAAAGATTAATCTATTAAGACTAAACTTATATCAAAGGTGTTCACTAAGATCTCCAAACTAAATTGCATACAAAAAGCTCTCAGCAAGGGAAGGACTGACGACGGTGAGGGTCACGGTGGTGCTGGTTTGGTGGCCTACTAGCTCTCGGTGGCCGCTTGAACTTCTCGATGATGGCTCAGTTTCGTCAGTGAGACTCTTGGATTTGTTGGATCACAGCTGGACAACAGCTCGGGTAGGCGTTGGCAGGAATGAACAGTAGCCTCATCGTCGAGCTAGAACTTATCATGGTGCAGGCCTGGCGTGGGCGTGAGGTGCGGTGGCACAGCGAGGTAGAGGGCTCGGCGTCACGGTGATGGTGCGGCAAACTCGGCTGGTTGTCGTCGAGATTTGTGGAGCAGCGACTTTGTCGACAGTTGCGAGTGCAGGTGTCACAGTGGGATTGAGCTCGTTGTTGGGGGCTTCTCCGTTGACTGGAAGAGCAACGACATCAGCCGGTGGTCGGTGTGGAGTCGCGTGGGGTTGCCGTGTCGCGGCTTTTCTGGTTCACCGTCGTCAAGCAGCAATCGGTGTCGAAGGTGACTCGGCCATGAGGGGGTTCGGCTATGTGGCTCGACCGGACTTCCTCCTTCCCCCTTTTTCTCTTGAGTGTGTTTCAATGTGTTCTTTATTGTAACCTCAATCGTGTCCGACCTCTTTGAATGTCAGGACTAAGAGTCCTTTTATAGAGGTAATGAGGTTTCTTATTCCCTAATTCTGATTATGGGCTTGACTCTTTAATCCTTATGGTCTTATTTTTAGCCATTTTTGGAAATAGTGGGCTCTATTAACATCAAGCTCAAAGCCTTTTATCAGTTCTATTTCTAATGCAATTACATGGGCTTAACCCAACTCGTTAAGCTCAGAAATCCCCTTTTATTCATGTAAATTTCGGCGAAACATAATTCCCTAGGCTTAGTCAAATTTGATTCAATTAAGTTCAGAGCCTTTTGAATAAGTCCATCTACCGCATGTCCAATTTATCAGTTCCATTTCTAACGCAATTATATGGGCTTAACCCAACTCATTAAGCTCAGAAATCCCCTTTTATTCATGTAAATTTCGGCCAACATAATTCCCTAGGCTTAGCCAAATTTGATTCAATTAAGTTCAAAGCCTTTTGAATAAGTCCATCCACTGCGGGTTCAATTTAAATTCAATTTTTATGAGTTTATCAAAATACTAATGCAAATGCTTCAAATAACTATATGTAATTAATTAATTTTTGTTTAGGAGCCGAGGTCGATCCCTAATTTTCTATGCAATAACTTTCCAAATAAATCGTCAAAATTTAGGTGTCAATAGATAACTTTCACAACGTCGACGATGACTTGGGGACTTGTCGATTCCCTTCAAATTGTCAATTGTTTTGTTCATTGTTGATTAAACTCTGTTCTTATCGACTAATTCTGATACTTGTCCATGAAAACCAAAAGTCGGCCATTTTTTTGCGTCAACAAAATGTATAGGCATTACGAGTTTATAATCCGATATATTATGTCTCAATTTTTTTCGTGATAAATGATAAGAAGATACAACGTGTTATTGCATTGCAAGAATTTGTGTTTTGCCGAGTGATTCCGTGACTGGATGAGAGCAAGAGAGGGAAGAAACTTTTGATTTTCCTTACACGATCCACCACAAAACTTCAGATATTTCATAATCACTGAAATGCCATGCACGTAGGAAAAGTAACGTCCGATTATGGAAGGTTAATAATTTTTTCTCATCAATTTTTAGATTATGATTTCTTTTAATGACTCATGCATTCACAATCTCCTCTTACCATATCTGAAATCACAGAGGATGTATTTAACTATATACCCAAATTTAATATCAAGAAACGTGGAATACTCCATCTTAATGCCTACTGATGAAGGCCATAAATCATCAACCTTTGAAATTTTTATGGTGTGCACATAATTACAATCTCTCTCAAGCATTTCTTTGCCCATCCTCTATACATATACATATAGGCACTCACCATCAAACCCTAAGAAAATATAAGTTTTTGAACGGTCCAATCTCAATGGGAGCCCCTCTCAAATTCCATTTCCTTCTCTGCTTCACTCTGATTCTTGCATCCTCAATTCTATGTAAATCTGCTTCGGATGATGGCTTCACAGTGGAGCTGGTCCACCGGGACTCGCCAAGGTCCCCATACTACAACCCGGCCGACACCCCGTACCAACGTATGGCCAATGCATTTCGCCGATCCATTTCCCGCGTCGACCGCCTCAACCCGAACTCTGTTGCCAAACCGGATACGCCCTCCTCGGTGCTCGTCTCGAACAATGGGGAGTACCTTCTGAACCTCACGCTCGGGACCCCACCCGTGACCATCGTGGGGATCGCCGACACGGGGAGCGACCTCATATGGACGCAGTGCAAGCCGTGCACGGATTGCTTTAAGCAAGCAGCCCCGCTTTTCGATCCTCGCAAGTCCTCCACGTACAAGGACATCTCGTGCCACTCGTCGCAGTGCGGAGTGATCGACCAAACCTTCTGCGACGGACGAGCTGGGGTTTGCGGGTATGCCTACACTTATGGTGATAATACATTCACTTTGGGAACCCTAGCCACAGAGACCTTGACCATGGGGTCCTCCTCGGGCCAGCCTGCGATCTTCCCCAAGACGATCTTTGGGTGTGGACACCACAACAGCGGGAACTTCGATGATCGCCTGAGCGGAATCATCGGGCTCGGGGGTGGCAGCACCTCACTTATATCCCAAATGGGGAAAGCCACTGGCGGGAAATTTTCCTATTGCTTGGTGCCCTACTCGGATCACGGAATCTCTAGCAAATTGAACTTCGGGGCCAATGCCGTGGTCACCGGCAGCGGCGTCATCTCGACTCCTCTAATCCAGAAGGACACAAAGACTTTCTACTACGTGACCCTAGAAGCGGTAAGTGTCGGCAAGACGAGGATAGAATTCACCTCCGGCAACAGTTCCACTTCCGGGGAAGAAGGAAACATCATCATTGACTCGGGCACGACCTTCACGCTGCTGCCTCAAGATTTCTATACCAAGATTGAAGCCGCCATGGTGAAGTCCGTGAAATTGCCCCGCGTCAGAGACCCATCTCATTTCTCTAGCCTTTGTTACAAGGCCAAGAAAGATGTCCGGCTCAGCATTCCTACCGTGACGTTCCATTTCAAGGGCGCGGACGTGAGGCTGAATTCAGTGAACTCCTTTGTCCGAGTTGTCGACAACGTCATATGCTTCATGGTGATCCCAACCCCGATCCAGATGACTATCTACGGCAACTTGGTGCAGACGAACTACTTGATCGGATACGACACTCAGAATATGAAGTTGTCCTTCAAGCCTGTTGATTGCACCTTGCACTGATTTCTTTCGTAGGGTGCGTCTTTTCAATTCATATGGTTTAGGATTGAGTGCTGTGTTCATCTTTGCAAAGAAAACCCTTTCGTTTGAACATACTGAAGATCAATCCTGATGTGGAGTGTATGGGACGTATCCTATGTACTACAGTCGTTACTGAATAATATTCTCGCGTTCTTGTAAGTAGATAGCTTCGTTGTTTTCTTCCTTTCTCTAGATCATAAGCATTATGAGTCCTTATCAATTCGGGACAAAAAATCACAAAAACTCCAAACTATGCTTATACATTTACCCAAAATTGTTTTTTGTGACGTCAAAAACCTCTAATTATGTTCATTGTAACACATTTACCCTAAATTTTTTCTTAACTTATACCTATGTGACACTTTTACTCTCTGTCAAAAAAGTTTCGTCAAATAATTTTTTAAACAAAATAATGTCATTTTTATTTCACGTAAGCCACGTGGACAGATTTTTGTTTCACAAAACATATCAACGCCGTTTGCCTTCGGAGTCCATGTATGCAGATTTTTAGGTGGCTCGCGGTCTCGACGGAACTTTGACGGATGATAAATGTGTCACACATATACAAGTTTGAGATTTTTTGTGTCAATTAGAAAAAGCTTAGAGTAAATGTATAAGAATTATAGTTTTAGATTTCTAATGACTTTTGCCCTATTAATTTCAATATCCACCTATGCTTAAGATAAGCCATCTTTGCAAAATGGAATCGATTCACACTATTCTGAAGTAATTAGCTATTGAACTAGGAAAGAGGAGTGTTCTATTCATACGAATTGTGTACGGACTCCACATAGACAACCTAGATTTGACTACCGTGTCTTAAAAAGGGTTCTTTTGTCAAACTAATTAAGAATGAAACCCGTGTGTTACAAAGATGAAAACTTTGGTAAAACGTAAAAAATTCAAAACTTGATTGGCATGTTATAAGATACTGTACGAAGCACGGGCCAACCAAGCAGGAACTAAAGCTCCCCGCATCACCTTAAATGCGGGAGGCTACTATACCCGCTTACTGACGGTAGCAGTCAAAGCTGACGTGGAGTTTTTCTTCCTCACCCGCAAGCCCCTAAGTTTCCTCCCTAACCTTTTCTTCCCGGGAGAGAGTGAATACGAAGAGGAGTTCCTTCCCCTATCTCTCCTTGAGCATTTTAAGGACTTGCCCAGGTCCAATATCGAATGTTCTTTCAGTTTTTAGAAAAGATTCTAAATGTGCTTTGGTAGTTGCGCTTCAACTTCTTTGTACTCCTCATCTGGGTTGTATGAATGCTGAGCCAAACAAAAATCTATCAGACTTGACGAAGACACGGTTTCAAGGAGATTTAAAGGACTGATGCAGGCTGGACCATAATAATTATGACTTAGAAACTAAACTCGATGTTCTATAAGTACCTGAATATTCTAAATAAACAGCACTCAGAATAATCAGTGTGGTAAAGGGAATCGCGGCATGTAATCCTGAACTGGTTTTAGTCTTCAAACCTGATCTAGGGACAAGATGCTGCTGTCATCAGGAATTGCTAATACAATAACTAACTGAATGAATATTTTATACAAGATGTTGGAGGATAGAACAACCTAGATTAACTTCCTTTCAAATTGTAATTTGGCCAACAAGGAGCAGTGCAGCTGAACTCAAACTTTGTACTTGATAAGAATCGGCCACCACAAAAAAAAGTGACATAAAGAAGTTGCGTACGCAAAATTCCTAGCAACATTAAAAAAAAAAAAAAAAAAGGCAACAAAAAAGCGCAACACTGAGGCTAGTGAACCTGCAGTGGCTGGTGTATGCCGAGACTCCTCAGGAAAGCTCATGGGAGGATTTGCTTGTCTGATTCAGGCTCAATCGCCTCTTCAAGCGGAAGCCCTGGCACTGCTTCAAGGTGTGCGCTTTATGAAAAAATGGAGAAGAGAGAACATGGGGAGAGAAGTAACCGTGGAAGTGGAGTCTGACAACTCTACTTTAGTTCAGTCAATCACGTGTGAAGACCAACCTCCTTGGGACGTGGAAGTATTCATAAAAGAATGTCGGACCTCGCTTTCTTGTATGCCTTTTTTATGTTTATCCCACTGCTCTAGAACCCAAAATAATGCAGCGGATTGGGTCGCTAAAGCTCAATTTCGCGGACTCTTCCTCAGTGCTGGGTTTCCAATCCCTCTAAATCCCTTTTAGATATTTTGCTATACGAGAATTTCGGGTTTGTGCATTAGATCACTTTATCACTTAAACGATCCACATGAAAGCGTTGCATTTTCGACCCAAAACAAAAAAAAAGAGTAGCGTCCGATTATGGTAAGTTCAACATTTTCTTTTCCTCTCTCGAAATGTTTTGGATTACAATGTCCTTTTACGACGCATGCATGCACTTATCTCTCCTCCGACCACCTCTGAATTCAGATGAATCTGTGTTACCAATGAAGGCAATAAATCATCGACCCTTGAGATTCCATCGTCTGCACATAATGGCAACGTTCCTATATAGATAGATATGTGCGCTCGCCAAAGCACCCAGCGAACGCACGGTTCATATCCCACAATCTCCCCAATGGCAGCCTCTCTCAGATTTCATTCTCTTCTTTCCTTCGCTCTGATTCTCGCGTTCTCAATGCCATGCCAATCTGCTCCCCAGTATGGCTTCACCACGGAGCTGGTCCACCGTGACTCGTCGAGGTCCCCATACTACAACCCCGCCGACACCCCGCATCAACGCGTGGCCAACGCTATCCGCCGGTCTGTTTCCCGCGCCGACCGTCTCGGCCAGAGCTCTGCCAACGCCCCGAGCACGCCCTCCGGGGTGATCGTCTCCAGCAACGGGGAGTACCTTCTGAACGTCTCGCTCGGGAGCCCGCGCGTGGCTATCGTGGGGATCGCCGACACAGGGAGCGACCTCATATGGACACAGTGCGAGCCGTGCGATGATTGCTTCAAACAAGCGTCCCCGCTTTTCAACCCTCGCAAGTCCTCGACGTACAAGGACATCTCGTGCAGCGTGTCGCCGTGCAGCACGCTCAGCCGAACCTCCTGCGGCGGACGAGGACTCTGCGAGTATTCTTACTCTTACGGTGATAGGTCATACACTAAGGGAAACCTAGCCACAGAGACCTTAACCCTAGGGTCCACCTCCGGCCGGCCGGTGAGCTTCCCCAAGGTGATCTTTGGGTGTGGACACGACAACGGCGGGACCTTCAATGATCGCACGGACGGAATCATCGGGCTCGGGGGCGGCAGCATCTCACTCTTGACCCAATTGGGGACAGCCACCGGCGGGAAATTCTCCTATTGCTTGGTGCCCTATTCCTCGGATCGTGGAAGCTCTAGCAAATTGAACTTCGGGGCCAACGCCGTGGTCGCCGGCCGCGGCGTCATTTCCACCCCTCTAGTCCAAAAGGACCCAAAGACTTTCTACTTCCTAACCCTTGAAGCGGTAAGCGTCGGCAAGACGAGGATAGAATTCACATCCGACGACCCATCCGATCCCGTGGACGAAGGAAACATCATCATCGACTCGGGCACGACGTTGACGCTGCTGCCTCAAGATTTCTACACCAAGATTGAAGACGTCCTCGGCAAGTTCGTGACTCTGCCCCCGGCGAGCGACCCGTCGCAGATCCTTAGCCTTTGTTACCAGGCCGGGGCAGATGTCGGGTCCAGCATTCCCACCATAACGTTCCATTTCAAGGGCGCGGACGTGGAACTGAATGCAGGGAACACCTTTGTTCGAGTCGCCGACGACATCATATGCTTGGCGTTGGCACCGGGCCGGACGACGATCTACGGCAACTTGGCGCAGATGAACTACTTGATCGGATACGACACTCAGAACAATAAGTTGTCCTTCAAGCCTGTTGATTGCACCTCGTACTGATTTCTTTCATAGGGTGCTGTCTTTTCAATTCATATGGTTTAGGATCGAGTGGTGTCTTTATCTTTGAAAAGAAAAGCCTTTGGCTGAACATGCTGAAGTTGTCCTAGCTGTTACTGAATAATATTCTGTGTTCTTGGAAGTATGATACCTTCTTTGTTTTCTTCCTTTCTCTACATCATATGAATTATCTGTCATTATTCTACTTAGGGATAAGTACACTGAAAGTCCTAAAATTTATCACGAAAGTCCAATTGAGTTTTAAGACTTTTAAAAAGCGAAATTAGATCCTAAAACTTGTTACGAAAATGCAATTGAGTCATAAAACTTTTAAAAGGTGTAATCACGCAAATCGGGAGAGAGAGAGAGAGAGAGAGAGAGAGAGAGAGATTAGGATATTTTTTCCGGAAGGACTATATTGGCCAATCGTCAAAAGGTTTGAGATTAAATTAGCACAATTAAAAGGTTTATGACTAAATTAATAAATTGTCAAAATTTTATAACAAAATCGGTAAAATTAAAAGGTTTGGGATTGAATTGGCCTTTGTGCAATAGATGTATAACTTTTTGAACAATTTTCCCTATTTTGTATTTTGGGTAAAAATTGTCCACTTCCGTTTGTAAAAGCACAATATAAACTTTTGTAAGACGTGACTTGGCATTCGATAACAAAATTTCGGCTCCGTTTATTTCATGGAGAGTACAATGAAGTAGACAATATTTTCTACCAGGAAAATGATATAATTTCCCCGTGTTTGGCAAAAATACAAAAACGAGTTGGGAGAATAATTACCACCGTTTAAATTAGGAAATTGATTTGTGTTATCTCTAAAAGAATTAATCTTTCTTTTCTGGAGCACTTTGTTGCATTGCTTGATATATATGCTTTGTTTGATGGTTATGTGTTAGATTGACGCGTCTCCAATTCACGCGAATAACTACTACTTTAGCAAGATCACCGCAATCTTAAGTCATATATTTTTGAGAAATTTTCACAAGCAGTTGGTAGGCTTGTGATCACAAAGCATCACCAATCCAAGTTGATCTTCCAGCTCCACTCATATCCGCAGAACCAGCAATAGAGAGCAAATAAATGAATTTTTATGTATCTTTCACCAGAAAATGGATGAGAGCATGAAGAAAATCATGGGGCTCAACAAAATCCAATACACAGAGAGAGAGAGAGAGAGAGGTGCACATCCAGGCGATGGATGAGAGCACCTTTGGGTCCGAGATCAAGCGGGTCTGGAATCAGACGTTGTGCCCACAGTTCCCCATGCGGCGGTTGCAGGTGAGGAAGGGGGAGCCACCGATAAAGCTCGCAACCGCGGCAAGGACTGCTTGGAGGTTGAGGTTGAAGTTCATGTCAGAGAGATAGAATTTGGGCGTTTAGTTAGATGACAGAAGTGAGTCTGAGGAGGAGGAGATAGAAGTTGACTGAGTATAGAGAGAGAAGAGGAAGGTGAAGAAGACTGAGAGGAGCTGCCATCAATAGGATTTTGCTTCCATGGAAGATGAGTCATTCCGGTCAGACTTGCTTCATGGAAGAAGCCACTTTGGTAAACCTGTTCCCAATAAGTCGACAAGACGAGCTGTGTTCTTTTGGAAAATAACTTCCTAAACCTAAGTTTTCTTATCTATGGAAGTCATTTTCCAAATGAAAGAACACGACTTCCGATAAGATGTTTTCCTCCAAACAAACACAGCCTTTGGATGCAAACTTGTGACACAAGAAATAGAAGGAGTAGCAAAACTGAAATGAAAAGTAAGGCGGGTTATCTCCGATATTCCCATCTAACGCCGGAGTTGACGAGGGCTGTCACAACAAGCTCCAATGCGTGATAGCGAGCAGTTCTTACAAACGAAGTCCAAAGATCTACATAAAATGTGACAATCCATGTCCAAATCAAACCCACCTAATTTCTTCTTTAGGCCAACAAGCAGCAAGTCCAATATACAAGGAATTGACAATCTTACCAACTATACAAATGTGGTTGCTCTAGCATGAAATCGCATCTCTTTCTAAATAGGAACAAGGCAGTGCAATTTCTTCATAAAATGTGACAATCCATGTCCAAATCAAACCCACCTAATTTCTTCTTTAGGCCAAAGAGCAGCAAGTCCGATATACAAGGAATTGACAATCTTACCAACGAGCAGCAAGTCCGATATAAAAGGAGCCCAAGACTTTCTACTACCTAACCCTAGAAGCGGTTAGCGTCGGCGAGACGAGGGTAGAATTCCCATCCGCCGGCCCTTCCCTTTCCGAGGAAGAAGGAAACATCATCATCGACTCGGGCACGACCTTGACGCTGCTGCCGCAAGACTTCTACTCCAAAATCGAAGCCGCCATGGTCAAGTACATGAAACTGCCCCGCGTGAGCGACCCGTCTCAGTTCATCAGCCTTTGTTACAAGGCCGTGTCGGATACCGGGCTCGGCATCCCTCCCGTGACCTTCCATTTCAAGGGCGCGGACGTCGTGCTTGGGCCAACGAACTCCTTCGTCCGAGTCGCCGAAGATATCATATGCTTCGTGTTGAACCCGGGCGCGATGTCGATCTACGGCAACCTGGTGCAGATGGACTTCTTGGTGGGATACGACATCCAGAACATGAAGTTGTCCTTCAAGCCTGTTGATTGCACCTTGCACTGATTTCATTCGTACGTTTCGTCTTTCTTATTCTTATGGTTTGGGATCGAGTCGTGTGTTGTCTTTTAATTTCAATTATGATGTGGTTTATATGGTATTCATCGTATACTACTCTTGCTTGTTTACTGAATAATATTCTCGTTTTCTTGTAAGTCCTCATTTCTTCTAGACTATGAGAATTATTTGTCATTAATAATTTTCGTTGTCCACCTATGCTCCAGATAATTCAATCTTTGTAAGATGCACTAGTTCACTTTTCCGAGTTGCAATAGTTGTTGAAGTAGGGAGGAGGAGCATTCTATTTCGTATAGTGTACGAGTTTTGCAAAAGCGCTTTTGAAATATTGCAATATGGACTCGAAGATCAAGTTGAATGACATTATTAGAAATAATATTTCAATTGGAAACTTTCCAAAATTTTAATTCAATAGAATAAAGCAGTGAAGTTTTGCCTTTAAAAACGTAGATTTTGTACCGAAATTTAAGTACTGAATATTAATAAGCATTGAAGTCCTTAAGTATTAAAATTGAAACTAAAACACTAATTGATAATAAATGAAAATTAGTTAATGTATTATATTTGTTTCGTTCAAAATAACGAAAGGTTTGAATTATCCAAAGGTTTTGACAATATTATTGGTCTGACTTCAATTTCCATTGAATTTTTGGTCACTTATCCATTAAATAAGTTATTATTCTTTACTTGCCAAATTAAGTGATTTTTCACTGAAGATGATCAATTAAGTTGTATGTAGTTAGAGGTCATCAAACACACCTAATAATATTTGTGTATTGAAAATGTTTATTTAGGAAAAAAATTTCCTCCAACTAGGGCTCTCCCAACCGTACATTTCATTAGCGCGAGACAAAGAAGGAACATCACTTGCATGCAAGCTTAACCAAAATTTATGTGTCGGAGGTTTTTGAGTTCAGAGACTCCATTTAACTTTTTGTTTCGCTCGCTTAAGTATTGAGATTCTAGTTCCTTTGTTCAAGTCGTAAAACTTGCAACTTTGATTCACTTTGAGTCCATCCTTTGTTGATGGAAGATCCATAGGACCAAAAAGTACAAGGATGGATTAAAATGATCGATGGTCTTTGCTTAGCGGTGACATTTTCATCCATGTACCATTTTTTTCATTATTTGTGGTCACATGATACAATGTGTAAGCAATTAAGGAGTTTGTAATCCTTTTTACTATGTATCGATTTTTTCGTGATTAATAATAAAAAGATACAACGTGTTATTAGGAAAATTTGTCCAGTCAATCATAAACCAATTGTACGGATACTAATTCAGACGTAAACTTTCCACTTTTGGCCAATTTAGTTCTAAATCTTTTTGAGAAGTTCCAATGTAATCCTTTCAATTAATTTTTGTTGGGAATCACTATCGTGGTCCAGTCATCACCTGCAAGGCTAAACACTCCTGGGTGACCCATAGCGAAGTAGTACCGTGAGGGAAGGGTGAAAAGAATCCCCATCGGGGAGTGAAATAGAACATGAAATCGGAAGCTCCTAAGCAATGGGAGGAGACTATTAGTTCTTTGACCGTGTACCAGTTAAAGAATGAGCCGGCGACTCATAGGTAGTGGCTTGGTTAAGGGAACCTACCGGAGCCGTAGCGAAAGCGAGTCTTCAAATGGCAATTGTCATTGCTTATGGACCCGAACTTGGGTGATCTATCCATGACCAGGATGAAGCTTGGGTGAAACTAAGTGGATGTCCATTTTACGTGACACATTGTCACGAAAATTGGTTGGAATGACTATATTTAAGATTCAATTGGTAAAATTGGAAAGTATAGAATTAAATTGGCATATTTACAATTGATTTAAGATTGATTAGGCATCGTGTTTTGCGAGTGATTCGGTGACTGGATATGAGAGCAAGACAGAAGAAACTTTTGATTTTCCTTAACCAATCTAGCATAAAACTTTAGGTATTTCAAAAATGCCATGTGCGTAGGGAAAGTGACGTCCGATTTTGGAAGGTCAAATTTTTTTGTCTTAATTTTTTATATAACAAACTATTTAATTACGCATGCATTCACATTCTATTCTCACCACCTCTGAATTCAGAGCGAATGTGATTACCAGATTTACTATCAAGAAACAAGAAATACTCCACTACTGATGAAGGCAAAAATCAACAACCCTTAAGATTTCCATCGTTTGCACATAATTACAATCTCTTTAGCATTTCTTTGCCCATCCTTTATAAATGTTTGCACTCCCCAATAAACCGGCTACGTTTGGTAGTCGAGATAAAACACGGGATAGGATAAATTTTATCCTATCCCGTATTTGGTGCCTGTTCAAGATAGGATAAAGTCGGATAAGAGGGATATAGACCAGATAAAATTATCCCATGGTGGAGGTGGGATAAAGGTGGATAGGATTTCTAATATTCATAATATAAAAGTTATTTTTCTCGAATAACAAACTTGTTAAATTAATTAAATTAAAATAATATATTGAATATAAATAATATTTGAATTTTAATATACAAAATTCAAAATAAAAAATAACAATAAATTCGTTTTTATTTATTCTTATTTTTATTTATATATTCAAATTTATTTCTATCTTATGATATAAATTTCATATACATATATATATGTATGTATATATATATGTATGTATATATATATGTATATATACACACACACACATTTAGTATTTATATTTATTATATATTTTAGGCATATTTATATAGTTTACTATTTAATAAATTTTTATTAGAGAATGATGGAAGGGGAAGAAATAAAAAAGAAAATAATTAAAAAAGAGAAGGAAAAATAATAGAAATGAAATAGGTAAGAGCGTCATAAGAAATTGGGAAATTATCAAATAAGGACCCAAAGTGGGTGCCTTTTTTCAAAAGAGGACCTCAAGTGGACAAGGTATCAATTAAGGACCCAAAGTGTCAAATTAGTATCAAATAAGGACCTGAGCTCGCCGGCGGGCCAAATGTTCTTCGGCCGGTGACTGGCCGACATTTCCGGCACTGGAATAGGGGCAATTTTGTCCAATTTTTTTTTCTTTTCTTTTCTTCTTCCCGGTCGCCAGTCCGGCAACCAGCGACCGGGCCAGAGCTGAGGCCGGCGAGAGCTCGAGCTCGCCGGCCATCTGGGCGAGCTCGGCCGGCGAGCTTTGCCCAGATCTGGGCGAGCTCGAGCTCGCTGGCCATGGCGAGCTGCCGGCGAGCTCCGCCCAGATCTGGGCAAGCTCGAGCTCGCCGGCCATGGCGAGCTCGAGGAGGCCGGCCTCGCCCGGATCGCGTAGTCGAGGGCCTTGGCGGGGCCGTCGCCGGAGGCAATGGTGTCGCGCGCGAGCTTGAGGAGGAAGGGCCCGAGATCCGGGTTGTCGAGGGCCGTATCGGGCGGGGCGGGGCTGGCGGCGAAGCCCGGAGACTCCAGCGGGGGCTTCCGTGGGGAGAACTTGGAGCGGGAAGGGGAGGGGGAGGGTGCCATGGCCGACGAGCTCGAGCTCGCAGGCCATCTGGGCGAGCTCGGCCGGCGAGCTCTGCCCAGATCTGGGCGAGCTCCGCCCTGGCCGGCCCGCACAGCCATGGCGAGGGCCGGCATGAGCTCGAGCTCGCCCAGATCTGGGCGGAGCTCACCATGGCCGGCGAGCTCGAGCTCGCCATGGCCGGCGAGCTCGAGCTCGCCCGCATGGCCGCGAGTCGAGCTCGCCGAGATCTCGGGCGGGCGCGCCCGGCCGAGCTCGCCCAAATGGCCGGCGAGCTCGAGCCCTCGCCCTCCGCCGGCGAGGGTCGCCCTCGCCCGCCCAGCCCAGTCGAGGGCGACCCTCGCCGGCGTCGGGCGAGGCGCCTCCGCCCGAGGCCGGCGACCTCCACCGGCCCGGCTATGGCGCGGAGGGAAGAGAAAAAAAAAAAGAAAAAAAAAAAAACGGAGATGAAATGTACTGTTCCGGTTGCCGGAACAATAACTATATTCGCCGGCCGGCGAACCCAGGCCCTTACCTGAGACAAATTGAGTACTTCGGGCCCCTATTTGAGATTGATTGAGCACTTTAGGTCCTTATTTGACACCATATTCACTTTGGGTCCTCTTTTGAGAAAAGGACCCCACTTAAGATCCTTAATTGGAATTTTCCCTAAGAAATTTTTATCATCTCCGTTTGTGCAATTTTTAAGTTCATTTACACTGATATAACATTCATAGCAAATAATAGACATAATAATATATGAAAATATCCGGCTTTATTACTGCGATTTACCAAACAGTAAATAGAATATAACAAATCCGTTGGATTTCATATCCTATCCTATCCAATCTTATCTTGGTTAGAAATCCGGACGACCGAACGTAGCCAAAGAGAATATAAGTTTTGAACGGTTCAAATCCACATTTTCCCAATGGAAGCCTTTCGCAAATTGCATTCTCTTCTTTCCTCCACTTTGATTCTTGCACTCTCAATTCTATGTGAATCTGCTTCGGATTATGGCTTCACCGTGGAGCTGGCCCTCCGCGGCTCGCCCGGGCCCCCATACTACAACCCGGCCGACACCCCGTATCAATGTATGGCCAAAGCTATTCACCGGTCCATTTCCCATGTCAACCGTCTCAACCCGAACTTTGTCGGCACCCCAAAACACGCTCTCTGGGGTGATTGTTGCCACCTTATGAAAGGTATTGCTTGGGAACCCGCCCATGACTGTCGCCACCCTCCCAACAGTCATGTCGCAGAATGACGGGTTCAGAGGTAATGTCTAATTGGGACCAACGGTCCACAATCGGTACGAGTTCTCCCAAACCCTTACCTTGAGTGACAACGGAAAATTCATTTAATCCTAACAGTATTCTATCACGTAAGGGAGTCACCGCTAGCCTATTGAGGCCAGCAGGGAGCCAAATGAGATACGGGAGAATACCCCATTTCCTACGCAAGATCTAGGGTCGAAGACTTGATTGCACTAGTTGTTCAAACTAATGCCCTTTCACTACCCTAACTTCATTGATTGTCAACTAAAGTGTGA